CTGGGCCATTTCCGCCTCCTCGATGTGCACAAAAGCGTGGTTATCATGCTCGGCGCGGAAGAAAAACTTGAGTCCGCAGCGCGCGCAGTCGTAGGGTCGCGGCGCGGCGGCGTGCTCGGGCAGGTGGCGCTGCAGACCCGCGGCGCTCGTGAACACCGCCGAGCACAGGTAACACGTGAACGCGCCGATGCCCGCGAACGTGTGCTCGATGAGGTGCGCCTGCAGCCGCGTGGGCGAGCCCAGCGAGCGCCTGCACAGCCGGCAGTCGTGGTCGGCGGCGGGCGCGGGCCGCGGCGTGGCGTGACGCGCGTAGCACGCGGAGCACGCCCGCACCCCCTCGCCGGTCTCGCTCTTCGTAAGCGGCCGGAGGCAGATCGCGCAGCGCTGCTCGTCGTCGTTCGGCCGCAGATGGAACCGCGCGTGGAGGCGTGCCTCGGCCTCGGAGGCGAGCGTCTGGCGGCAGACGACGCAGGGCGCGGGCAGCGCGGGATGATGCCGCGCCATGTGACCGAGGAACGCCTCCTCGGACGGAAGTCTTGCTCGGCATCGCGAACACGTGTCTCCGGCGATAACCTGAACCAAAATATTTTTTATATTTAATATATAAGACATAACTAAGTCACATTCTCTTATGTGTTTGTAAGATTCGACAGCAAGCTGTGAGTACCTTGCAATGAGATAGCTTATGTTCCGCTAGCACGCCCGCGGAGGGCAGCACCTCGTCGCAGATGAGACACTTGTGGCGCGCGGCGCCGGCGTGTGCGCGCGTGTGCGCCTCCAGCTCGGCGCGGCTGCGCGTGCGCTCCCCGCAGTACGCGCACTGCAGCGCCACCGCACCGTTCTTCCTGCGCCGTTCCTCACCCACACCTTCGCCCGCCAAAGAGCCCGTGCCCCCCACGCCGCCCGCACCTCCCGCACCTCCCACACCTCCCGCACCGCTCGCGCACGGCGAGCACGCGTCCTCGCCCTCCACATTGTTGTTGTCCAAGCGCTTTGGACGGACCATTTCGCCGTTCAATGTCTGTCGTAGGCAAACAGAGAAATGAAATAGTAAGGCAAGGGATAAAAGGCATCGTTGCATAATTGTATGTACGACTTAGATATAAACCACAGTTGGGTAAAAACACTTTGTTTAAAAATGCTTTTTGAATGTACAATTTTAAGCGATGACAGTTGTATGAAACATTTTAACTAAAAAAATAGTAGTACCTGTTGCATGACAGCGTGGTGCATTTGCATGTGCCTCTCGAGCAGGTACTGGACGGCGAAGGTGTCGGGGCAGGCGGGCGCGGGGCAGCGATAGTGCCTGCGCGGTGCGGCCAGCAGCGCTCCGCAGCGGCACCGCGCGCCCCCGTGTCGCGCCCGCACGTGCGCCGCGCCCTCCGCCTCCGACCGCATCGTGCACCCCGCACCCCCACCACCCCCCGCGCCACACGGCCGGCACACCCACACCTTGCTCTCGCCGCTGTGCGCCACCGCGAAATGCACCTGCGATGATACAAATTGATCAGCTCCCCTGTGACCAACAATGACACGCTTCAAATATGTATATGGTATACTGTAGTCTTACTTGAATAGCTACTTTGGAATCGAAGACTTCTTTACAAAGAGAACAGCGGTACAAATGATGAGCGTGTAGGTCGAAGAGATGTTTCTGCAAGTCGTCCGGCGTGGGGAAGCTGCGCACGCAGCTGTGGCAGGTGTACTCGCAGGAGACGGCGAGGTAGTGTGCAGCCAGGTGGCGCTCCGTCGCCGCCACGTCCGCGAACGTGGCGCCGCAGTGCACGCAGGGCGCGGGGCTCGAGCGGCTCAGCTCCCCGCCTTCTTCGAGATGCCCTTTCACATGAGCTCTAAAAGCTTCGAAATCTGGCAAGGCTGCGTCGCACTGATTACATAAGAGTGTACTCGGAGATAGCGCCGTTTGGGGCGTTGTCGATTCTGAGCTTGATTTGGGACGTTTCGCGATTGTGACGTCGTCGCTAGTTCTCCGACTGAGGTCGGTAGGCGTCGGTTGCTCCAGGGCCGGGGTCATTATGGCGTCGCCATTCAACAGCGCGGAGTGCGCCGCGCGGACGTGCAGTTGCAGCTGCTCCATGCTAGTAAAGGTGTCCCGGGTGCAGTATATGCACGCGAGCAGCGTCGGTGGCGGCTGGGAGGCGACGCGACGTGGCGGAGTCAGGGAAGCCGCGTCCATGCCATGCGCTGTCGCCATATGGGCCTACAATATTATTCGTAACGCTTTTAGAAAGTAGTAATCACTCGAATCACAGAGTCGAATGCGAAGATCTTCACTCGGCTTCGACTTTTGACAACACACATATGTACCTGAAGCATTTCCGGCCTTCGAAAAGCGTCCCCGCAATGCAGACAGCGCGTGGTCCTTCGACGGTCGTGGTCCCTGGTCTCGCGCGGGTCACGGGTCGCACGGTCGCGCTTGTGGCCTTGCATGTGCGAAGTGAGCGCGGCCGCCGTGTTGTAGCCGCGGTTGCATACCGTGCACTGGAACGGCTTCTGATTGTCGTGCGTCTTCATGTGGATTTTCAGATGGTCACTGAAATCAAATTCAAATAATTAGTTAAGTCAGTTCATTCCGTAATTTCAAGATTGCGTGAGATGGGTTAACGATCGCTCTGTCTCTGGCGTGTTTTACAATAAGTATATGTATATATAAAAATTCAATATTGGTTCGTTAAGCTAGTTAGCAGAGAATTACAAAAAAATCACCTTGAAATTCAGTTTCTTAATGACATTATTCACGATAGCAAATGTCTTAATGTCTTTTACTTTAGAATGTTCGTTTAGTTAAAACATCCGAGCGAGAATTTAAAATTAAATGCACCGAGAGGCCATTGTGAGATCTGAGGAGTCGATTAGTCATATGAGACATAAGTGGGCACATAAAGCACGGACCAAAAGGAGCCAACAAAGGGGGCTTTTCACACGAACTACGGAACGTTCGCCCAAACACCTCTGCTAATGGCCGAGCGTCGTGCCCGTTTCGGTGCGGCCCATTATTTTCATTTTTGTGAGGCTCTCGACGCCATTTGTCAGCGGATTGTATCTTTTCACCGCTCGCCGGTTGTCGGCGATGGATCGAGTGGAATTAGTCACGTGACCGTCGCGAGGTGACGAAAAAGGTGACGCGTCGCCGACCGCGAGCTTTGTGCCCCGGCCTGCTGCGATCAATCTTACCAACGTCTATTGTCTAAAATTCTCCTTTACATTTCCTGATCTAAGAACACTCATAATAACTTCTTCACGATAATAAATGATTTCCGGCGTAAGATTATGACAGCATTATTTTATTTTCAAGTTATATAAAACTGTCTATGTAATGTATCGGTAAAGTTGTGCTTTTGGTATTACAAAACAGAGCCTTTCTGTCAAATTACAGATTCATTTTATACCTGACGACAGGGAATCAAAGCCTAAAATATATTCTTTTCAGATATTTTCATTACAAGTTTAAAGTTTCCGTAAGAACTCTAAATATATACAGTGTTCACACAAGTTTTTACCTTCTGGAGAATGCAGACTCGCAGTGAGCGCAGCGGTACTTGCGGTCGCCGGTGTGCAGCTTGACGTGCCGGTCCCGCGATCGTTTATGCTTGAACAGCCGCGAACAGAACTCGCACCGGAACGGCATCTGGTCCGAATGCGTCTGTAAGACATATACAACACATGCATAAAGGAAATGATTAAACCTCCACAACAGACACAGCAAAAACACTAATTGTAACAAAAGAAAACAAAAAAATTAGCACGTCCCAAGGATTTTTTTAAGTAGTACTTAATCATTAACATTGGTCGGGGCCGTCCTGGATGCAATTATGTCCAGATAAAATACTTCTGAAGAGCGGTTTGTAGGGCATTCGCAACCGTTGAGAAGGTATGCGCACATGTATGAATGTAGAAGAGAGATAATTGTGCCAGGACCATGCCAAATGAATGTCATGTCGTATTAAATTTTTTTTTTGAACGAAAAGGAAGTAGAATTTAGTACATATTAAAATCAAACTTCCAATTATCAAAAACAATTATGTATTAAGTAAGTCAATATCTAACATATAGAATTGTAATGCAATGGTCTGGGTGCGGTGGTCACAATGATCGTGAGAAAGGTCCCGAACAATGCGGCGCGGACCCGACGGCGCGGCGACCATCGCAAACAAACGCTTCCAACACAAATAAAACGTAAGATGTATTAACATTTTCACTCAGGGTTTTAGTATAATCTTTTAATTAACTCATCCATTTGCAATATTAACTGTCTAGACATTTGTGTTTTTGTATTGTTGCAGGTTGAAAATAACTTTCATAATCCGATTTCACGTCATTTTTGTTTGGATTTGAAATGAGATCAGTATAAAAATGTATATAAATATGTACTCCCTGAGATTATCAAAACGCGTTATTGTAAACCTTGTTTTAATCACTCGCCTTGTTTTAATTATGCTAACAGAGAAACATCAAATTTTATGTATCAATAGCACTATTTTTTTTTATTTATAATCAAAACGATTATGTTAAGCTTAAGTTTTATGGCCGTCCGCCAGCCTGTCACTATCACTTGCAGAAACATCCCTACTTGGGAGAGTTACATCATTTCATATATGTTTGAAAATTGTGACAAAAGCTAAAGGATAATTTATCAAATGGATTACTATTAAATGTATGTTGAAGTGCAGTGTAGAGTTTGTATTTGTAGTTAAATAATTTAAATTTACTTGTAACGTAACTTAATATTGTAGAGAATAGGAATCTATTACATATATTCAATTATAGACGGTCGTTTGGCGTGATGTCAAGATAGGGAATGTGAGGCGATTGTGGCGGGACTCGATTCGTCAGCGATAACATTCCGATACGGGTGCTCCCGGAGCTCAAGCCGATGGAATTACGATATTGATCTTTCCAACTGAACTGGTAATGTACCAGATACAAAACCACGTCTCATTACTTTTAATAACTTCAAACTAGTGGAACATTGCACGTATTTTAACTAAAAGAAAATAAAATAATAGCTTATCTAAAAGCATTAAGTAAGTCGATGTACGTCTCAAAAAAAGCAATAGCATAATAATGTGGTATTCAAAACGCAACTGCAAGGGTCATAACAAATCTGTACTTTAATTTATGACTAAAATGAATGTTTTTGGTATAAATTCTGTATCTTGAAGAATTTGCTTTCAGTAATTGTCATTATTAACTGGCATTATCGTTTGATGTTCTTTTAAAAACTGAAATGGTAGTCATGAGCGTTCGCTGAATATAGCATCTTAAATACTCTTCAATTCTATATACTTAACACTAAAGAAAAACTAAAACGTTACCGGGTACAAACAATATATGAGACTTTAAAAGAAGTTATTCATGAGATAATGAGAATGGTAATACATTGACGTTGGGACATAATAAGAGCGGCCTTCACACCACCCGTGAACCAACGACTGACTGAACGTTCCTAAAACAAGCTCCCAAACTGACAGGCAAGTTCACGCTTTTACTAATTGACCACCTCGGCAATTACACGCCACTGTCATGCTAAACACAAGTCACACTTGATTGACTCGGTGCAGACTTATAAGAAAAAATGTTAATTTTTGGTGACAAAATTATGCTAAAGTGATGCATGTCATTTGTTATTATTTATGTTATTGACATCAGCTGGAGTTGATTCATTACTTACGGTGGGTTTCTGATACCAAAATTCCCGTTTAAAACATAGTGTTATCTCTATCGTGTAAAAAATAATGACAGGGAAGACGGTATATTTTATACAGGGATTTTGAAGTCAAAAAACAACAGCTATTCATTTTAACTGTTCTTTACATCAGTAATGTAAAAAAAGAAAGGATCATCAACTGGATGAATTGACATCTATGGCACTCCAAGAAAGAATGTAAAGTCAGTGACCAAACTGTTAAAAACACAATTCGGAGGTATTTTGGTTTGGACAGTTACACTAATAAATCTCTGTTAAAACGGACAAACAATATTTTTAAATACGTATGTATATACACAGCATTTTTAGAACGAGACGTCGAACTGGATTATTGCTTGTCAGTTGAAAGTGGTACTTATCGATTTTCTTGTTAGTATGTAGTTAATGTTTGTTTGTTCAGCGGTCGGGTGAGGGTTTGGTCTCGTGCTACCCCAATTACCACGGGGCCGGCTGTCGGCACCATTAGCGCCACATCTCAATTTGTTAGCGCCGCGCCGACTTCTACGGCACGGCACCGGGAGACAAACAGAAGTAATATAACGTATTATATATATGATGACCAGCCCCGGATATTGTATTGATAGATTTTAAATGTTTAATATTCACACATTAGTTAGTTGTATGTGGATTGCATACTGTAATCTATAATCTATATCATGTGGTATACCCACGTGGTTTTAATATATAACATTTCAATTAACAATTATTGTCTTATCTATCTAAGAAATATATTTTAGATTGTATTTTGGAAAATTTTAATTTGTTGAGTAGTTGAGTGACATTTTTAAGACTACTTAATTAATCGTTGATGTCTTTTACCCTAACAAATTAAACGCGCAAAAGTTATTAGACAAATTTTTTTGCAATAATTTTTCCAAAAAAAATTGATCTTTTAGAATGGTCGAAATTTAAAATTGAGCGCCCCAAATATTCTTTAATTCTTTTATCAAGCTCTGTGACTAAGAAGTGACAATTATTGTTTGTAATAAGCCGCGCCGGTCAGGGATATGTCTAATTGTGCTAAGTGATAGCTCTTCCGTTTACACTTTTTTAGTTATTCCATTCCTTTAATTTTTTCTTCTGTTACTTATACCCAAGATTTTTAAAAGATGTATTAACAGTAAAAAGACAATGTAATTGACTTAAGACTTAAGTTTTTTATCAACATATTACTTAAATAAAAGACTATTTCGAATATACTATTTGTATAAAGCGATATTTATATGCTGTATGTAGTACGGCGATGGAAAAAATTCACATTAAAATCAATAGTGCAATGTTTTTTGAAATCTTATAATTAGTATTCGTGTTTCGTGCAATAATTCCGCAACAGAGAGCCGATCGCCACGGGAGCTGCGCCCCGGGTGCGGGCCGGAGCCCCGTCGCCTTAGCCCCACGAGATGGCTTACGTTTATAGCGGGAAGGCACGCAAATCATTCCACGATTTACGATTCGAGTCAAACAAACACCGTGAGAGCGGCCGACTTACGGCGGCGAGACGTTGTTAACTTTTCCGCGTAAAGGAGACATTCAAAACTAGTTTAAAGCGAGCATGATAGCCAATAAAGCTGTGGAATGGGCAGCGGGCGGCTACCGAGCGACTTTCCCAGGTGTAATGAGCGACGCCGGGCCACGGCGCGGGGTCAGCCGCGCCGCCGACGGCACCCGATTGCGCGACCCCACTTCGACGAAATCTCTTAAACGACCCAACGTAAGCGTAGCTTCATAATATTAAGTGCACGGATTCTGGGTTACAATTGCCGTTATAAATATCTATGTCTTGTATGTTATTGCAAAAGAAGGTAATGTCATTTAGAGTAATGTGTTCACTATGTCCTTGTTTGATATATTTTTTTAATTGCTTATTACAAAATGGCTATCGATTCAAATGAAGTTTAATTTTGCTCTTTTTTAATTAATGCAAGAATTATTTAGAAAGTTAAAAGTAGCTTTATCAAAGTCAGAGTCGGTCGGGTAATCGTAAAAGGTTTATTAGATTATCGGTGTGCAATTGCGGTGACCGTAGTGTCGGAGTGATAGCCATCAGGCGCGGAGTGGTGCTGCCGACAAATGTATCGCGATCTTAGCCACGCCGGAGTGAGCTGACGGCCGGAAACAAGCCGCGATATCACCGACACACCTTTATCATAGCACGGGAAAGCCGATCATTACAGGACTAAATCAATTGCTAGCTCGCGCCTATACCTTGCAACCTAATGTGCTCCGCATATCTTAGTGTGTCCCGTCTCTCGATTCTCGTAGCTTTGAACACATAAATTCAATCTGAAAAATTTATTCTGTTACAGAAATTTCCGTTTGTTTTTTATTTCCTCTTTTCCAAGGTTCAATATGTGCAGATCTTACCTTATATTATTAAGCGGATTGGTTTTCCTAATCGTTGATACGCCACTAATCTATTCAAGATAAGTTTAAACTTATTACAAGTAAATAATTTGTTTGATTGAAAATCTAGTGTATATTTTTCTCCTTTAATTAATCAACAAATGAATTTACCAGGCAACAGTTACAGCAGTTATAAATCGTATGGTACATACGATTACATATTGCCCAAGTCACTTTATAATAAGAGTTTCCCTACCGTTCAATAAATCGAATGCGATTTGTCCATTAGAAAATGTATCTTGTTGGTCCGATCGGCCCACCGTTAGGGCTACATTTTCCGAAAAATTGGGAATGCAAAACATTATATCTAATTGTGCGTCTTGTTATAAATTTTTAGGTACTTCATATTAACCGTGGATGTAACCGGTACCGTTACGTCCCGTTACAATTAAATGTAAACAAGTTGATTTAAACAAATTATTTTACAAGCAACGCATCTCAAAGCCAGTTTTCAATTTGCAACAAGCGTGCTCAGTTTTATGGCTCCCACCGGCGCGGGCGGCACCAATAACTTATGTAACTGTTAATTGATTTTATTACGAACTTTAACAGTTTCATAAAGTAGAACAGAATAAAAGCTACATAATCGGTGGGCGTTTTCTAACTGGAAACACTTATCAGTTACCCTAATTTTTATTGCTGGTCAAGCGAAATTTCGCCAAGGAAGGCTTGGGTCATCGTGATTTCGGTTGCAGTGTAGGTGGGAGGATATGCAAAGTGACATTTCTATTTCTCATATCTCGACTAGATCTGTCGCAACTCACAACGCAGCGCGGCGAGCTCGGCGCGGCACAAAGCGGCCGAGATGTGCGGTCGTAATGGCCTCAGTCGCGGGCCTCGGCTGCAAGGCTACCGCGATGCATATCAAACCTACCGGCTCTGTAAATGGGCCCGTTTTGGGTATCAACTTGCTAATGAAGCATAGCGAGTACTGTGCGGCGAAACTGGACTGTGAATTCACAGATATGACGCAAGGCTTTAATAGTCGTATTGTGGTCGTACCGGTCGACTCGCTTTATGGCACTAGACACATTTATTACCTCGGTACAACATATGTTAAACTCTAGAGGAACCCTCTCGCAGATACGGACCAGGTTTCAGATGCGTATCTGTCTCCGTATACACGCATTAAATTGTCTCTACGGAATTATTCTTGGTTTGTTTGTCATCTTGAATGATAATAAATGGTAATAAATGATACAAGGTTCTATAAAAATGTAAAAAATTTAATTAGTTTGCATCGTTAAGTATTGCATAAAGTTACTAATTTAAATACCCATTTGGGTGTCAATGACGGCTTGACTTGTTGTTTCTGCTACTGAAATTGATTGTAAAATCATCTAAAGACACATACCTGCTCATGCTTCTTGAGATAGAAATGCCTAGGGAAGGCCTTGTCGCAGAAGGGACACTGGTAGGGTGTGTGCTCGGTGGCGCCGAGCGTGTAGGGTGGTTCGCCGTCTGCGTCGCCGTCGGGCGCGTCCGCGGAGGTCGGCGTCGACGCCGGCGAAGGCGACGGCTCCGTCGAAGACGGCCACGAGCTGCCTGCCGTGCTGGCCACGCTGCCCACGCTGCCCAATGCCTCTGAACGGACGATGAAAATACACATTTTTATAAATGAATGATATACGTCAAATAGTCTGTTCTTCCTTAACCACAGCTTGAATATGGACTAAAACAAATGATGATGCACTAGCATCACCATACGAAGGTAAATTTGTATCTCAATTTCTGTTTTGTAATTAATAAACATCTTCGCTACCTTGCACCTGCATATGAAACAATAACATCGTTTTTTCAAAAGCAATATTGCGTTTTGGTAATAATGAATTTTTATTCGCAATCTCTAATCAAATGAACATTTTATTAGACGTGCTATTGATCGACTAATGTCAGAAGAAGCAATGCAATATTGTAGCAGTACTATAAAGAACATTATAGCAGAAGGCGTGCGTAGATCTGATAAAGCCGTCATAAATATCGTTAAAGCTCCATATTTCGATGTTAGGGGTGATATTTCTCCGGGAGCACCTCCGAGTGCCGTGAAATATAAACAAATTGAATGCGCCGCGATGACGCGCGGCATCACCACAAATGATGACTAATGTTAACGGAACAGCGCTCTGCATGGAGTCGCTCGCAAACAAAAGTTTAAAGGTACTCTCGCACAAATCTTAATTCTTCTCAGAATATGCCGTATAAATAACACAAATTACAGTCAATTTAAAACATTATTTAGACGATATGTTATAAAATTTGTAACTTTTTAGAGTCGTTAGGTAGCTTATTTTAAATGTTAAGCTAGATAGCTTTTTAAAATGAATGTTCTAACGTGAAAATATTAAATCAAAATCAACAAAGGGGCTGAAAATTGTAATTTACTCTCCAGGCTAACTTTCGTAAAAAATTGCTAGTACAGTAAGGTACATCCGCGCTGTTCCACTTAGAAAAAATTGTCTTGTTTCTTAGAATGAGATAAACTCCGCCACTACTTACACATCATCAATTAGGTAATACTGAGTAGCGCGGGATAATAATAAAAAGCAATTAGTCGTGTACCACTGACCGATCTTTTTCGAACAGACACATTTAAAAGCCAGGTCCTGTTCATAATTTTTTCCAAGCGACTTTTGCTTTTAAGATGGAATACCGTCAGATTCCCTGATAGTACATATATTTATTTCTTCTACGGACCCTTTCATAATAGGAACTATTTATATCAATCCGTTTTCTTTTACGCCCGTAACGGCATTGTTGTGTTTTGCAGCAAATTATATACGTACATAAGTCGGAATAAAGCAACATGTCTTTATTTTTACACGGCCAAGTTTTTTAATCTTTACGATTGTGTTAATATATTTCTATTGAGAAGAAAAAATGTGTTGATAGAGTTCAGACCTATTTCTCTTGATTCAAACACCTTCTTTTTTTACAATTAGCTAATAAAAAAATTAGTTTCGGTTTATATAAAAGTCCGTACACTTATGTATATCTGGGCATTACTATTATATATCTGCAGACAGCTCAGCCGTGGGCAATAGGATGGGCGTAATTAGCGGCGATTGCGGGCAATTCGTGCGGGTGATGGCGCCGGCGTGTGGCGGCGTAGCGGTGGGCGGCGGAAGCTCACATCCTAATTGTCGTCTCAGACACCTCAGCCGGCGCCTCGGCAATCAACGAGCCTGCGATAACACCAGTGTGTACTGCAGTCAGTAACTCCATTGCCGTTACTCGCGTCTTATCGCGATAACAGGAAGTCGTAATGATCAATAATCTGCTCGCGATTTTACATTCACTCTTAATTCAAACTACACTCAGAGTTGTTGATAGACACTCAAGCAGTCCCTTAGTTGAGATCCTAATAATTATTTATCATCAGTAGGTATCGGCTCTTCATACAAAAACAGATTAATATAATTCGAAACGTGAGATGTATAATAATATTCTGGCAAAAGTATCAGTAAGGAGTTTTCAAGAGACTATATTTACTTTCTCAAACAGCAGTGCGTTGCTAAAAAAAATCATGTCTGGATAACTTTTTAAGAGTAAAGGATTTGTATAACGCTATATAAGGCCAAGGTTTATATTTCGCTAGAACGTCATTAAGTAATTGTAGTCAATTAAAGAAAAAAGTTTTCAAAGTTTATAAGCAATGCACGCGTTTTGAACAAATAATTCAGTTGTAAGTTGCGGATAATTTGCTTGTGTAGTAGGTGATCAGTTTGGATGAAATTGAGTTTCTGCCGATTAATTGCGCTACAGAGATGACAAAAAAGATTAATAATTTAAATTTATTAACATTTGTAATAATTTTTATTTTAAATGTTTTATTTATTTAGTTAGACGATAAATAAATGGGTTTAGAAATTTAAATCGATTGAGAAAAGTTATTATTTTTTTTTTTTTATAACAGAAGGGGGCAAACGAGCAGCGAGAACACCGAAGTGTTCAACGACGCCCATGGACATCAACAATACCAGAGGAACCGCAGATGCGTTGCCGGCCTTTGAGGTGGTGATAGGCTCGCTTCTTGAAGGACCCTAAGTCGTATTGGTTTGGAAATACCGCCGAGGACAGACCGTTCCACAAGGCGGCTGTGCGAGGCAAGAAGTTGCGCGAGAATCGCACCGTTGTGGAATGCCAGCCATCCAGGTGGTGTGGATGGAACCTGGCGGTCTGTCGTGTCGTCCGATGACGGAACTCGGCGGCAGGAATCGTTCCAAACAATTCTTCAGAGCACTCCCCGTGGTATATGCGGTAGAAAATGCAGAAGGAACTAACGTCCCTCCGCAGCGCCAGAGTGTCGAGCCGATCAGTAAGAGCTCGGTCGTTGACGATTCGAATCGCTCTCCGTTGTATGCGGTCAAATGGAAGAAGCTGGTACTGGGGTGCTCCCGCCCAGAGATGCGAGCAGTATTCCATGTGGGGCCGAACTTGCGCCTTATACAGCTGTAGGCGGTGGCCCGGTTGGAAATACTGCTTCGCTCTGCTGAGCACACCCAGTTTTTTGGAGGCCAGCTTGGCCTTGTCTTCCAAATGACCGCGAAACTGAACGTCATTCGATATGTCAACGCCGAGAATACTAATACTGGCTGAGGCAACCAGGGGAGTGCCCTCGAAACGAAGATCCACGACAAAGGGTTGTTTTTTAGCGGTAATGGCGCATACTTGTGCTTTTTTGGGATTGAAGTCAACAAGATTTTGCCGACCCCAATCCGAAACTTCACCCAGTAGGGTCTCCAGTTCAGACACAAGTTTGGTCCGGTTCTCATCGGCAGTGGCCCGAGAAACGTTAGCGCGGGCCGTGTACAGTGCATCACCCGTGCTATCGTCTGCATAACAATGGATGTTGCTAATTTGCAGCATGTCATTGATATGCAGAAGAAACAGGGTCGGCGACAGTACACAGCCCTGTGGGACGCCAGCATTAATTGGTTTGGGGTCCGAGCATGCACCGTCGACAACGACCTTGATGCTCCGACCCTCCAAAAAGCTGGCAATCCAGGCGCGTAGTTTCTCGGGCAGCCCGTAGGAAGGCAGCTTCGAAAGAAGTGCTTTGTGCCACACCCGATCAAAAGCCTTGGCCACGTCCAAACTAACCGCCAGGGCCTCCCCCTTGCCCTCGATTGCCTCCGACCATCGATGCGTGAGGTACGCAAGAAGATCACCAGCTGAGCGACGCTGTCGGAAGCCGTACTGACGATCGCTAATCAGCTGGTGCTCCTCAAGGTACCTCATGAGCTGGCAATTGATGGTCGTTTCCATGACTTTCGAGAACAAGGTGGTAATGGCAATCGGCCTGTAGTTAGACGGGTCTGAGCCATCACCTTTTTTTGGGATCGGGTGGATAATGGCAGTCTTCCATGACTTCGGGACAATGCCTAGGGAGTAGGAGAACCGAAACAGGCGCGTTAAAACCGGTGCCAACTCAGGAGCACAAGTCCTAAGCACGAGTGGGGGTATCCCGTCAGGCCCACTCGACTTATGAATATCCAGAGATTGCAGCGCTTTTCGCACTGATCTCTGGATAAACTGGATTTCGGACATGGAGGTCTCGCCGCGTGGGACTTTCGGCGGCGAGTTACCTTTGTCATCCAGAGTCGAGTTGGCCGCAAAAAGAGAGCCCAGGAGATCGGCTTTCTCTTTTGCGGTGTGGGCCAACGAGTCGTCCCCCCTGCGCAAAGATGGTAGGGACGGCTTACAGAAGTTTCCTTGGACAGCCTTGGCAAGAGACCAGAACGCGCGAGTTCCCGAAGGAAGGTGCACTAGCCTCTCACCAATGCTGGCCACGTGTTCTGACTTTGCCTTGGCAATAACTCTTTTGAAGGACCTGGAGGCAGAGTTATACTTCTTTTGAATTATTATTTGAATTGAATTTGTTATTTGAGACACAAAATACACAATTTACTTGAATTTTTCCCTTAAAAATATAATCTTATATATAAAATTCTCGTGTCACAATTTTCGTTCCCATATTCTTCCGAAACAGCTTGACCGATTCTCATGAAATTTTGTGAGCATATTGAGTAGGTCTGAGAATCGGCCAACATCTATTTTTAATCCCCCGCGGACGAAGTCGCGGGCGACAGCTAGTGTTTATAAATAAATGTTGCATTACTTTACAGAGCGCATCTTTAAGAGCATCAGTGGCGCTGTTGTTAATAAAGTGCTTGACCGGAGTGGACCGTAATCTGAAACGTCCAGCTTCAATCCCCCTTTTAAAAATGTTTTTTATTGATTTTCTAATTTCATAAGTACACTTAACCGTCGTTCTTATAATAAAGGAAAACATCGTAACTTGTTTTTAAAATAAAAAAAGGGTTACGACTTATTTATTTTTTTTACGACGAATTTGGCAAAGAATTAATCTACCTGCGAGCAAGAACTGGCAGTAGTGACGATTGGTGTGGACAAGCCTCTTGCCAGAATAGTTTTATTGTTCCCTCATAGCATTGATTGATTCATAACAAGAGTAAGTCTTATCATTGACATAAAATAAGTTAACAAAACAACAAAGAATGTTTAAAATTGCGTTTACACAAATTATAAGTGAATGATTATTACATATACTTTACCAATTTACT